GTGCACTCGCCACCAACTGGACAGGGGTGGGAATTACAGTTATAAATTACAATAGATCACCCTCAGTGTAATCAGTCAAAGTGACGGACGGCCTTCAGATTTTTCTGTCACTGCTAAAAAAATTCCGTAAATGACGGAAAATGTTCGGTTAACGTGACCTCTGGTCAGTAATGACACAACATCATATAGTTTTGTATATATAGAGTTCATTTGCAAAAGCAGATAACTCCGTTTTTAACAATTTTCAAAAATCATGTTTTTTCATTGTGCATTCCAATTAATCTCAATCAAACTGCAGTTGGGTTATTTTGATTAAGTTAAAAAATAACAAAAAAATACAGCTAACACAATAAAAACATAACATCATAAAACATATGATTTTTGAACATTTAAAGAAACAGTTATCTGTTTTTGCAAATAAACTCAGCATCAACATTCCTCCAAATGTCTGCTTTTGCGTTTCGTACCACGATAAATTCTGTTCCAGCCTCCGTTTGGACCCTCTTCGATGTGGCCGCTGTGGTCAGAGGTGAAGTACATCAAGGTTTTCTCCGACAGGCCGAGTCTTTCAATGATCTCCACCATTCTACCTGTGATTAAACACAAGGTATTCTCCGTGAGTCATGTTTCTCATGAAGAGTCATGATTCTGAGCTGAATAATCTGTGATCGTGTGATCTGAGGTTACTTGAGTTTGTTAAATTAAAGGGATAGTTCACTCAAAAATGAAAATGTGCTGTTAATTTACTCTCCCTCAGCCCATCCAAGATGTAGGTGACTTTTCTTCTTCAGTAGAACAGTAAAGAAGATTTTTAGCTGAGACCGTGTGATTCATAAAAAGTCAAAAGCTGCCGTTACTTTGAGAGTCAAAAAAGCAATAACAGGCAACACAAAATGAATCCCTGTGGCTCCTGACGATATACTGAGGTCTTATGAAGCTAAATGATCAGTCTGTGCAAGAAATTGAACATTATTTGCAACATATTACCTGTAATCCAGAGCCTCAGTTAAATGGGGAAATATGATTCTTTTGGACAGTTTGATTCAATGAACTGATTCAATTCACTAGTTTGTTTATGTAATCATGCAATGACATCACATATACGCAATTATATATTAAAGCAGCCAATAATGATGTGAAACATGGATGTTTTCCATGTCTAAAGCATATAAAGAGAATAAACTAGTCTTCATCAGCTCACCTTTTTACATATACCATTAGAAACCATAAAAACATTAATTTCGCCCCTTAATTCAAGTGTTCGGTTCATGCATGCGCATATGAGCAGCTCATCGCTCTTCGGTCCGAGTCAAACGGTTTCCTCAGTTCAGTGATTGTTGGAGGAACTGGAGCGCTGAATGAGTTCATTCATCACAGGATCAGATCCT